TGTCCCATTTGAAATAACCAAGTTATTGCTGTTTAAAGTTGAGAGAAGTATTCACCAGTTTTTTGAACACCCTGTACAATACTAAGTGACGCCAAATATAACAATTTATAACTTCAAGGATCTAAAATAGACCCTCCAAAGCTGCTTCCTTAAAATTATTTTTTATTGCTAATATTAAATTTCTACGCTATGCCTGCATTTTCACTAAAATTTAAATATCTCGCAAAATATAAGTCCTAGGTATGCAGAATCTTTAATAAAGTTCACCTATTCACCATTTAAAAATACATAACTTTGTTATGGTACGCTTTTCTTGGACACCCTATATATTTCAAAATATTTTTAAAATGTAGCCTTAATCAACCTACACATACCTACCTAAACATTTGCCGTTTGGTGCCTAGCGACCGAGGCGTTACTGGTGGCCCACCCTGTATTACTTTTCGAGATATATCAAAACCAGACTTTTCTTGTTTTTGCTGTATTTCTTGCAAATTAAGGTTTTGAAACTTGTTATTTACTGTAAATGCAGCCCTCGGCAAGCAAAAACGTGCCTTTATTTTAAATTAAAAAATATTAAAAATTTTTCGAGTTATATCGATTTTTCGAAAAAAAGGTCATCTCGAAAATCGGCTCTTGCTCGACGAATAGTCGTAGAGGGTTCATTTTTTTCCTTAAGAGTTGTACTTTCCTGGTAAAAAAGACTGGTAACGATTTTATTCATTTCAAGTGTCCAAAAATTACTGAAAAAAGTTAAAATTTTTGGTCACGTTTTTCTTGAATATCTTTTTCGATTTTCATTTCTTGATAATGTCTATTAAAGGAATCGATTGCTCGCATTTTTACGGGAATTTAAAAAAAAACCTTAGCTCTACGACCTTCTGGAGCCGAGATATTTTTTTTTTTCAAAAAATTCCACAGGCCGCCGTTTAAGTGCTACAGCGTCCATTCTTACAGAGATTGTAGTTGAAGTCTTATATTTTCAATAAAAAATATTGTTGTTCATTTTAACCACTACCGTATTGTTAATTGTGCGTCAAACTGAAGCATTCGAGCGCGGCGCGAGCTAACTGTAGCGAGCGGCGGAGTGGGAGTAACGCTACTCGGCCGCTCCGAATACTGAATTCGCGCGTTCAAAAGCGCTCTTACTTTCAAAATGTTCGTTATCTCGACTTTTGGACCACGTACAAACATATTTTTGCACTTAATTTGGGGTGACTCGACGAGATAAACCAAACTATGACGTTTAATAATTACTTTTGAAAAATGTAATTTTCCTCTAGTCTAAAATTCTCTCTTTTAGTCGACAGTCAACTTGTGCGGAACAAACCGTACACACACTTTTCCGTAGCCCAATAATGTTCAACCAAATTAAAACTATATCAAAAGCTTTCGCGAAGTCTAAATGGATTACATCAACTGGACATCCGCGATCTATGGAAATAGAAAAATAATTATTTTAGTCGGTTTTCTGTATTAATGATGCATGAACTATTAAACTGCCTCCAAACAATTAAATTAGATAGATCAATGCACAAGAGTTGTGACTAGATCACACCAATGGCAACGACTATTTTATTTGAACTTGACGAGAGGAAATCATTTTCTTTTAAATACTTTTTAGAAATGCATACATACATTTAATATCTACAATTTCAGAAAATTTTATTGTTATTAGTAAATGCCTATTGCTTTTACAATAGAATTGTTGATCCAACAAAAAAATCATAGTTAGCAAATGGCTTAGGTTTTCTCTAAGTATTCGGTGTAGGAGGTCATACATTTGAAACATGTTAAATACATCCACTTTACTGTCGATTCTAATAATTCTAAACCATCTCTCATTAGAATTTCATTGGTAGTTTTTTTAATACAGGTATTCAGTAGAGATTTTTAATTTTTGTAACAATAGATGTGACATTTGATTCTTGTATAATGGATATGCAAAATAATTATATTGAATTTATTAAAATGGGCGCCTTATTGTTATTTTGTCTCGGATAAAGCCGAAGGGCAGCCCTTGCATTCGCTTCTTAATAGTTTCAGCTTTTTTCCAAGCCAATGGTTAAGCCACACTCAGAACATCAAAGCTTTCGACGTGCACATTATTTAATGGTAAAGTTTTTGTCTCATTCAGTTAACAGCCTAATTGGCTATGCATAACAGCTTTTTTAATGGCTGTATTCGGATAAGTACGGGGGAGATTATTTCTTTGTGTGGGATCGCTGAAGTGAGGCTAATATCAGATAATTGCGCTTGATTGTCAGGATAAACTGACGGATCACGAGTGATTGAATTAACGTTTATATATCTAATTATATTTTGAATTTTAATTTATTTCCAAATTTTGTAAAAAAGAAAGGTTGAATGAGACATTCCTTTAATGAAAAAGATAGTTACTTTCTTTGAAAACAAGAGTATTTCTGATGGAAAGTAACCGTTATTTATATCAAAAATTAAAAACAGCAATCTTACGAATAGGCTTTGAGAATAAAGTACTCTGAGAAATATCCTTCAATGCTGTTACAAAAAAAAACAATAAATTTCCGTAAATATTATTTTAACTGTCGCAAGTATCTTGAATATGAGGAACAAGAAAAATAAGATTTGTACACATGCATACCTCTGATCAATGATTACATGCACTTGTGATTGGTAAAGTATTTTATTGAATGTTAAAATTCACTTCCAGTAAGTTATTAGATCATTCGTTACTATTGTGCTGCTAATTGTAATTGGTAAATAA